GGGTCGGATTGCAGATGGCGGAAGTGTCGGAGGATGATGCGTTGGATGGATTTCACAAGCTTCAAAATCTCCCCTCCCCCACCGCATCCCAAAACCAGTCCAGCTCGTCCCCGCCTCCCTAACCTGTTCTTCCTCCCACCTCAAGCCGCACCCCCATCTCCTACCGACTAACCTCATCCCACCCCCTTGACCTGTCCGTCCTCCCTGGACTGACCTATCCCCTCCCTAACTCCCCACCTACACTCACCTTTACTGGCTCCATCCCCGCCTCTTCGACCTGTTTGTTTCCTCTCCACCTATCCTCTCCTCTATCCATCTTCTATCCGCCGCCCACTCTCTCCCTATTTATTTCAGAACCCCCTTCCCCTCCCCCTTTTCTGATGAAGGGTCTAGGCCCGAAACGTCAGCCTTTCTGCTCCTATGATGCTGCTTGGCCTGCTGTATTCATCCAGCCCTGCACCTTGTTGTCTCAGATTCTCCAGCATCTGCAGTTCCTACTATCTCTGATTCAAGATACTGAACTGCTGGGGCATTTTCTCAATTAAACAAAGTTTTTAACCAAGAGATAAGGGACCTCTTGTGGTTTCTTGGAAATTAGGTCAATGGTTTAATATGGACTGTGATCCACCCATTAATTATAAAAAATCCAACGAATTTGGGAAAACAGCAAAGCAAAGCCATTGGGTGATAAGAGATACAGTTTTGTTGCTCTTAACTGCAGGAAAATCTGGCTTTGGAAGAAACTATGGGGAACCTATACTGACGGTTGCCTATTTATTTTTAGAAATGTTTTGTTTGATAATAAATGAAATAATTTTGAGCTGATCAAAGAAGCCTAGTGAAAGTCTTTTTTGAGTCTGATAGTTGAGTCAAACTGCAAACAATTGGCCATTTTGGTGACTAAATCAATACTAATGGTGTAACTCAAGGAGTCGGGCTTGAATACCAGTAGATTCCTCACATCACAATTGTAACACTCTCGTTAGCAAAGAACTTTACAGTGATTCACGAGGAATTCCTGAGCGCTAGCCCTAAATGGTTAGAGTTAGCAGCTCAGCATCCTTGCTGTGTATACAAGACTACATCAAGGGAGAATTGTTATAAAACATCTCGATTTATCTATTTGTTCCCATAAATAGAAAATAGAAACACAGAACAGTACAACACAAGAACAGGCCCTTCGGCCCATCATATGTGTGCTGACCATAATACCATTCTAAACTAATCCCATCTGCCTTTATTTGAGATGGTCTGGAATCTCTTACTTATTTTCAGCAATAACTAATATTTTCTACACTATTATCCTTTTTTGTAATTCATTTTGGACAGAAAATGCACCATTTAGTTAAATATGAAACCTAATATTTACGTAAAACAACTCTATTTCTAGATATTCAGCACTGGCACTTTAAACTTCCGCCCTTATTCAACAGCTTCTGTCCTCAACCTTCGAAAAAACCTAAAAAAAAGGAGAAATTCCTTAAACTTGCAACAGTACGTGTCAATTCAGCCTAATCATGCTATTTTCACAATATCACAGAAAAGCCCAAGTTCATTTTGTTTTGTTATTGACTGAGGTTACTTGATTTATGTAATACACAGCGGAGTTAATTTAAAACAGGCAGATCAAGATTTGCCACATTGCCTTTACGTGGCTCAAACAGAAGCGGTGCATGCGTATTCCTAACCTAAGCAGTTCCGGTAGTTGGTGAGTTTGCGTGTGACAAGCACGTGTGAATATAAGAGTTGGAAGATGCTTGTGAGATAACCATTTTAAAATCAAAATATTTCGCTTGCAGCAGTACAGTGCAATTAATGTGCTGCTGATTGACTTCTAGGTATATACTCCAGCGCGTAAAAGTAACAATCCAATCGGCTTTAAATTCTTCAGCTTTAAAGGAAAAATTACTAAAGATTTTTTTTTTAAAAAAACCAAGTTGACTAGAGTGTGCTGACAACTTATTACAATAAAGCAGCAAAGTGCATTTCTGATTGAGGTGTGGTCACTGTGCTTTAGATCCCGCAGCAAATGCTGAGGAGGACCCAGCTGATGCAAGCAGGGTACCTTTAGATTGACAGAAGTCGATTCAGTTTGTAACTGTGTGCATCTTTATGTTCTGTTTATTGAACATAGTTGATCGGGTGTACGATTTCCAAGTCGCTATGTCTGGAACAGGTCGCGGCCGAGGCAAAGCACAATTCACTTTCAACATCGAAGCTATCGGCTTTTCCCGAGGCGAAACTCTGCCTGAAACAGCGTGTCAACCCCTCCCTTTGTTTCCGGTAAGTGTAGCTTCTTTTTAAAGGCGCAGTGTCGCTACAGGCAACCTTACGGCAAATTATATCATGCGTTGGTGTATCCCTCAACCAGTTAATTTGCCTTTGTGCTATGAACATTTCTATCTGTTGACTTTTTTTTAAAAGTGAAAACGTAAACTTAATCCATTACTTTAGGAGCAGCTCTTTATACTTCACACTTCTTCAGAGTAAGAGTAAATGTTAATGATGTCCCACTCTATATGAAATGTTGAATTTCACTCCCGCTGTGTCTTTAAATAAAGTTTTAACTGGAAAGTATCTTTTAAGACTTATTTTGAAGAAAAAGTTGAAATGACTTCACATCTGCCATTATGAAATTAGTATATTACAATCTTTATGTAATAAAGACTGGAGTTATGTATAAAAAAATTGTGGTGCTCTAAGTTCACACTGCAGCATATAAATTAAATGCGGTGCATTTTTTGTTTCGCCAGTGGGTGGTACTGCAGTTGAGCTTCGAGGGCGTGCTCAGAAAAGACTTCTGTAAAGATATGCAACCTTTATTTTAACGTTTAGAATGAGCAATAAAACTACTCTGCTTCGATTTGTAGAAATTATGAAACTAATCTTCACTCTAAAGTTTATGCTTAGTAAAGATGAGCCTTTTTAATGCCTAATACTATTGATAACTGCAGTGTCATAAAAAGCTACACTGCCTTTCTTTCAGGCTCATTTTCATTCTCTTTAACCATATAATGCTCTATTAGTGACACAATTGAAATGTACCAGTAACAGGAAAGTGGGGTGGCAAGGCTTAGGGCTTCAATACACTAGCGAGACAGTGTAACCTATAGTGTATTTTTGTTTTTCCAGCAATTTCTGTTTTTGTTTCTGATTTCCAGCATCTGCAACTATTTCAGTTTCTTTGATATTTATGATATACATGTTCTTTATCTTATGATCTTCCTATCCCATTTAAAGTGCTTGTCCTAATAAAGAGACTTTTTTTCTTTACTCTGAATATGTGAAATAATAAAAAGCAAGAAAGCAAGAAACATACACAGATAAGAAATAGCAGAACTGGATCATACAGTCCTTGATAAAGCTCAGCCTTTCAGTATGATCACAACTGATCAGCCTTAACACCAGTTTCTTACCTAGTTGTTGGTTATTAACTTTGCTGTTAAGGAAATTGAGTCCTTCCTGTTCATTCTATCGTGGCCCCTCATAACTTTTTACATCCCAAATAAATGTCAGCCTTCTCTCCTCTGAAAACCACAACTGCAGCCTGTAGCAGGGTAACAGAGCAGATTTTAATCTCACTGTTTACTGATCCTGTTTGCACACAATGGATGGTTTACATTTGAGGCCCATGTTATAACTGTAGAAAGAGGGGCAAATCAGATAAAATGCTCTTTATTGACTCGCACATCAAATGATATCATCCTTAATAGCATGAACAAGAATTAAGATTTTTATTTTCAATATACAAAAGTTCAGTTCAAGACTTGGCAGTAGCTTGTTTCTTGAACAAAGTGTTAGAATACTAGAAGAAATGCAATAGCAATTGTAAGATGGTAAATAGGAAACCTATGACTGGGCAAGGTACATGCCTATCCAGTTCCAATTATAGTATTGCCTTATTGTTCTTGTCCTGTATGATAACCTACATTACCGATCTATAGCCCACAGAATTTAAGCCTGTCCCCTTGAATACAGGGGAAGATGTAAACTATATCCTGGCCTTGAAGCAAGAGCTAAGAGGAGCCTGCAAGAAACTGCCATATTACATTGACCATGTCAATACAAAGAAAGGTAAGGAATAGTGTGGAATGGTAATGGCATGTTATTGGTGACATTATGAAATGGATATGGGTAACAAAAATTTAATACTTTATGGGTATTTTGCATATACCCATAATGGTTGCCTATTTTAATGTGGCAATTTACATTAAAAGATAATTCAAATAAGTTTTTATTTAAGAGACTCAAGTTGGCAAAATATTGTACTTCCAAAACAATATCTTTGAAACATTTTGAGATTTTAACTTTGACAAGAAGTACAAAGTGATGTTTAAAACATGTTTTGGAAAAATCTAGAAACATTGAAAGGACAAAAAAATGTTATTGAAATATATTTTATGGATTCAAATGAAAAAGATCAGCAAGACCATAAAGTACAAGGACAAGTACAAGTCTGCTGGAACATTTGTCTTTATCTGCCTCCTATTTGCAGGTGAATTGTCAATGAACAAGACTTCTGTTGTGTAATGAATCGGTGCCACACCACACTCATTCCTTCTTTCTCAAGTCAGTTGACAGTCAGTGTCAAGTCGACTGATCTCTGTTGACTGCATGGTCTCCACTTGGTTCCAGTGGCCCTTGTTAGCTAGGGCTCATTTCCTGCTGCTTGTCCAACTGTGTCTTAATTGAAAATTAAACTATGGATATTGGATGAAAACAGAATCGGGTTCAGTGGTGATCCTTGTTCTGCCTGGCTGAATACTCAACCAGGCTAGGTTCCATGAAGAATGTCTAACATGAAATTGTACCTCTGCATGAGTTAGAACAGTGGGAACCTGATTTTGGGTTCGAAATTGGATAAAAGGACATTAGGCTAGGATGTTAATTTAGAAAAAAACACTTGCCAAGAGTACATATGATACGACACTCCACATTGTGTTGAAAGGGAAATTCGCGCTTCATTCCCTTATCAAGTTTGTCATTTTAATTTCTGAAGAAGGGTCTAGGCCCGAAACGTCAGCCTTCCTGCTCCTCTGATGCTGCTTGGCCTGCTGTGTTCATCCAGTTCTACACCTTGTTATCTCAGATTCTCCAGCATCTGCAGTTCCTACTA